TTCCTAAAATAAATAAATAGTTAAAGACATAAGTGACGAAATTAAGGGCAAAGTTGGGATAAACCACTAATCTCTCATAAAAAACTTAATTTCTACACTAAAACAATTATTTATGTATACAGTATAGAATATAAATGCTATTCAAATTTATTTAATACGATACAATTGACCCATATTATCTAAATATTCAAAGACATTCAACAGACCACCCGTGAAAAACGTGCAATAAATAAATATTTATTGATGCTACAACCAAAACGGCTTTTAAATAAATCAACTCACTAAATCAATATAAACCTTATCATAAATGCAATAAAACATAAATTTCCACATTGTACTTTAGAGTTGTTAGGAACCAACCCTACAAATGGGGACCAATACAGGGTTGTCAAACAGACAAAGATTATCACACAGATACGAGATTTTAGGTTTTCTGTGGATTGTATTTTTTATGCAATTGGAATAGCAAATGGTTGACGCCCATATGATGGTAAGCGGTACCTTCCTTGATAAATAGGCTCTCAACAATAAAAAAAAAATCAAAATCAGTGTAGCTTTCGGATATTACCCCGAACATCCAAATTCATAGACTTTGCCATTTCATAATTTTAAATAAATTTGTGTATATATATATAGGAGTTGTTAACAGTTGGCAGCCCTACTCTGAAGAACCCTATGTTATTAAAACGCAAAATCGATCATAAGGGGACGAAACTTAATTATGACTCGTTCAAGGTCGACCGATGCAAACGCATTCTTGTGTAACAAATTGCTATCTGAAGGGTGGATTTCTATCTTGTAACTCAATAGTCTGTAATTGATGTATCAAGAAACGCCCTTTATTCAAAACTAGATAGACTGGCATCTGCTCGCTGTAAACTATTTATATATTCAGCGAATACTATTAACATTTTAAATTAAAATTTAAGCAGTAATTAATGACTGTAAAAATAGCTTCTCAACGAGTGACATAAATCCATTTCATTAGAATAGTAACATACACTGATATACTATCTTTTTATGTATTTGGAATCGCAAACAACATCCACGTCAAGTATTAACTGTCGCCTATATAAATGAGGAGCGTTTTAAGCGTTCATAGGTTGCCATTCCGGAGGACGAAAATGTTATAAAACATATGCTATATCACTGCTATATCTCACCTGCCGAAATAAAAATGTGTACAGCACATATGACAACATAAGGTTTTCAACAAATATGTATATAGCGTGGAAAGTTAAGCCCACACATCGCGGTATATCAAACATTCGAATGGTATGAACAATAACATACTGGGAACTAAACAAACTTCTAATCTCTGACATCAAAGCAGTCGCACGAGCCGCAAGTGGCGGCCGGCGAATAAAATAGCCTGTTGTGTTATTAACAGCCCCTACTGGAGAAAAAAGGAGGCGGGAGGCAGAGCTGCGGCCGTATGGAAACGCTGCGTAGGCGTGCTTAGCTCGAAAAATAAAAATATTGTTACGTTTAAACAAAAATTGTATTTGGCATATTAATTTGAGTTTGGGAATTGCACGTTTATAACATTAGAATTAATAAACAAGTTTATGGTCCTCCTGATCGAATGTGGCTATTGGCGTCTATATGGACATGAATAGCACCATGAACATCTGCTATCATCATTTCTTAGTCTTTATGTGATGTCATGAGTGTCTATTACGGAGCATGATGCCAACATACCCAGTAATTTCACTGTCATATCCATTAAATAAAGCCATTTAGTGGCAGAAATATTAGGTGAAACAAAAGTAGCCACTCGGGCGACTTTGTAGAAAGTATACCTCGGTGAATGGCAACATTTTATTTGATTTTGATAAAATTTTCGTTTTGCTTTTTAGATATGAGCCACAATTTGAGCATATCAAGATATAGATATAGAATATCAAGCATCTTAATATCATATCATTCTTGGTTTATATGGGTGGTTATTAAGACTGTTTCAAAAACAATGCTGATAAAATTAGTAGATGGCGAATATGAAAATGAATTCTGTTGATTAAAAAATAAGTATCACAATTGATTACATAAAAACTGTGAAGATTCCTCGTTATACCAAAATATAGGTCAAATTTATTACCGCAAAAACACTATTTTCAACTCGAAAACTTGCAAGTAAAATGCATTTATTAGTCCCATCCAGCTGTACTATATTCATGTACATAGTACCCGAGAAAAAAGGGGGGAGGGTCGAATATCCCACAAGGGGGGTCGGCAATGGACTGAAGGAGCCCCAATCAATCTTACAAGTCGCACTGCGATGCGGGGGTCCGGGCGAGGGGGATAAGGCACTTTCGGGGGTCGAAGGGACGATACCCTCTTATGGACGGGCTACGACTGACCCTTAGAGAGGGCCCACACGAAAAAGGTCAAACATAAACTTTTTGTTAGACGGATATTTTCCTGCGTATTTAGTTTACGAAGGTTTGTTTGTTCTTTGGATGACTATGGTTATTTCGATTAGGGCAGTAAATGAAAAGATTAATGGAATATCGTCGAGTATTTCTATAAAAATAAAAACATAATTTAGATAAACTATCTTCAGGTAAAATTCATTTATATGTGAAATTAAAAAGTAACAATAAATAGTTTTGTAATTACCGATCATAAATAACATTACAATTATTTTATTAAAAACCAATTACTTTCATTTCATTTCAATCACATTTTTGGGCATGTTAGTAGTAGTAGTAAGTATTGCAGTCACCATAATGACGATAATCGACAGTACCTCTGACTACCGCAGTCGGATTAATACGTTATTTTTTTTATACTATTTCCATACATAAGTGTAAGAGAAATCAATTGATATATTAAAAAAAATATTCAGTAATATGCTAATTTAATACCATAAAACATTAATAAAACTGTAATTGACATGATTATATTTTCAATTAAATAAAGAATACATAGAAGAATCATAAGAAAATATTTTTTAACGGATATACCGTTGGATAAATCTAGAAAATGACTTTCCGAAAGTATACTTGCCGACTTCTGCGGCGCACATCGTTTTTGTGTCTTGTCTAATACCGTGACGCCCCCTCGGGCTGATGAAACCTCGTGCCTACCCCCTGTCGGCCACCCACGACCCCCCGGTTCGCCCCAAGCGAGAAAAATGAGTTAGAAAAGATGCGGCGCCCGATTATGGCGTGACGCTGTGGTCCTTTGTGCGGGACATTCGTCTGAATCAATCGGGGGTCGTGTAGGACGCTGCGAGCTTTCCACGGTTATGTGTCAGGTGGCTTCCATTTGAACTCATATAATCTTAACATATACCATTTATATAGAAACATATCATATAACATATATAATATACCCGATGGTAATAGTAGTCTGTTATATACATAAATAGAAATAATCATTCCATAATTCAAACAAACCTCACATAAGCTCGTTTGAATAGTCATATTATTTTTTTTATCCTACCACTCGTTCGGAACACAGACTCATCACAAGAAGAACGAGGAAAGGAGAAACTATGTTGCTCTTTTAAATATTGTTTTAAGTAGATTTATATTAACAAGGATTAGGCATGCGACAATCAACATAGAAACTACTACGTACTCAATCTTTGTTTATGCATACTATGCACATTTCGTTTTCATGTAACACACTCATGCGTTCTTCTTTCTTGAGGACTATTGTGTCAGACATCTTAGTTTATAATTTTATGCTAATATAAATACTACAACCGTAACACTGAATGTAAAACATAGTGTTATGTAGGTACATCTATAAAAATTATGTCATTACTTAAAATCTACTTATAATAAAGTTGCAATTATTGTATTTCTTTTTTTTTTAAATAAAACACAGCTCATGTTACTCGCTAATAATGTAGCTTTCTAGCGAAAGGACTTTTAAAATAAGTGTTTTCCGAATTTATCCGATAAATAAAAATTGTTTGCTATTATAATATAATATTTGTTATAACAAATATAATATTTGTAATAACAAACTGACATCTGGCTGTACATGGAAGATATATGATAAAAGAATCTTCAAATATAAAGTTAAACTTTGTAAACGTCACAGAATTGAAAACAACGGCTGTTATTATGTACATTTGTCTCTTGTCTGTGACTTAACCTTTCTGGGTGCGATTTTTACTTATGTGTAATATTGTGATAAGCTCACTTCAGTTTTGTGTATTTTATTTCAATCGATTAAAAACAAAAATTTATAGGCTTAACAAAGTATCAACATAAATTCAGCATATTCAAAACTCTCCGGTTATAATAAGTAATTTAAAATCGAAATGTTCCTAATAATAGTATCAGGTTGGGGTACAAAGGGTCCATTGTACACAAAGGCGCGCTTGCGGGGTCCAGTTGACCACCGCAGCTTTGCAATGCTTGTTGGCAGAAGTTTAAGCCAGGGTTAAAACACGGCCCAACCCACAAAATCATATGTTTATTTTGTTGGGAATTCGTTTATACGAACCTTTTAATAATATCTACGTTGATATGTGCTTTAGTTGTGAGCCCTTTGGGAAATATGGTAAATAACTGAAGATCTAGGAAATATATTTTTACCTATAAAAACAATATACATTTTGTTCGCTTACAAAAATATAATTTATTCCTTTATAGCAACAGAAAGAGTTATCGAATTAAATAATATTATATTATAAAATATTTCAGATTAAATTCGATTGCCTACTATGAACTGACGGCATCGGTGGCACACCACCGGTAGCGGTTTAGCACACCGCCTTACATATGATGGTCGCAGGTTCGATTTCTCGCACGGTACCAACATTTGCATTCATGATTATGATTGTTTGTATCCGTAAGGTGAACTCCATCAGTTTTACATGAAATTAAAACAGAATCTACAAAGTCCCTATGACAATTCATTGCCTCGCTGTACAATCAAGTTGAGACGGATATAATTGCAGAAATTGGGTGTCTATATGACTTACATAGTAGTTATTTAAATAATATATGCTTATTACAATATTGTAATACAATACTCACCTTTCCGTTTTCCATGTCGAGACGTTCCTGGTACGCCATATTCCTCATATGTTTCAAGTACGCCGTAGTAATAGGCACGCTGTAGTCCATTTCCTCTCCATAATAAGCACCATCAGGTCTCCATGGTTTCGGAACTCTGCCATACGTATCTAAATACTCTATACTCGTAGGCAATAACTTTTTTCTAGGCGGTGATCTCGATTTGGGGGGATCTTTAGACGTCAAATTCGCGACATCTAGCGGATTATACTTCTTTTCTTTCTTCACTTCAGTCTTATTCTCTTTTGCTCCTAAGTTTTCTGACGTCTTAGTACTTTCTCCGCTCGGCTCCTCCTTAATGCTCTTCCTCAATTCTTCATCTTTCTGTTTTTGTGACACAAGTAGCGGTGGACTATCAGATTTTACATCTTCTACATCTATCAGACTGTCATCTTTGTCTATTTCAGGGTCTGTCCTGACAGGTTCCTCTTCTCTAAACGCGGGATTGATAGGCGAATTTCTACTGTAATGCGGTGTGGAATCAAATCCATTGACTTTCTTTGACGTGAGTTCTATGTATGTCGGCTCCTGATCTTCGGCATCTGTTGGTTTTGGGCTCTCTACTTTCTTAAGTGGTTGGAGGTCTGTATAATCAAATTTAGGTTCGTATGTATAGTTAGAATGTGCTGCGTCAATCTCTGATTCCCAATTTCGGGTGTAGTCTGTGGCGCAGTGAGGTAGGAACGAGAGGTATGTAGGGTGCCTGGTCGGGGAGGGTGAGGGTGTCGGCAGGGGTGGCGGAGAGGCGCTGCGCGGACGCCGCGCGCACTCCGCACATCCGGTGAGGAAGCGCGTGACCGCCTCTCTGGGCAGAAACGCGTACGTCTCGGTTATCTGTAAGAAAATATCCGAAATAAGAAAGTTTGTAAGAAAAACATTGTAATGATACACAAGTTTATGTACAAGTTAGTAGAGTTTTACAGTTTATGGGGTTGCTCTAGAAGTCATTTAAAGATATAATTCACTTTTGAAAAAGACATAAAACTTAATGCACGTATTATGTAACTAATGATCTACGCGAGTAAGTAGGCTAGTAATCATCACCAACCAATACCAAAATTCTTTATAATCTTGCCACCGCTTCTTAGCCAGCAGGCTGATTTTTCGATGGTACTAGTAGATCAGGCGATAAAAAATAGATATGCTATTTCATATAATTTTATTTTTATCTTTCCCTTTCCTACTAAGACAATGCATACATTTAAAAAGAATGTGCATATAAACGAGCATATTACTGAAACAGTCTCATTTCTCCTATTACCCCTACTGTTCTCGAAATAATTTACCGTCATAAGTGGTTAAAGGTAATTAGATATTACTTAAATTTACTATGGAGATGACAAACAAACGTTAACATTACAAAACGTATTAATAACAATCCTAGTTCCGAAAAGAAAATATTCTTCAAAAAAATTGTGTGAAAAATGGGGAAAAGTGAAACAGAATAAAATGATATCATTTAAATTATCACACACAAAAAAAAGTCTAATTAGAATATATAAAATAGTCTGTTTTATAGTCAGATACAAACATTAACGTAAAGTTGTTGTGCTGCCATCTAGTGTTGAGTTGCAAAAACTAAGCTCACTTTATTTCACCCAGTGCTTTTGGGAGTGTAATAGTTACATATATTGACGCTAGGTGGAGCAATACACGAAATAGTGTTTATTTCGTGTATAAGTTAAGGCATAAGTTTGTTATAATTTTATAAATTAAAATATCTGATTTTACTGTACCAAAATTTATCTCTTTCATATACTTATATCATAAAATAGAGATAAAATTGTAGATAATCACTCACCGTTCTATATGTACGCTTCTGTCCGGCGTGTTTGCCAGGCCTTCCTTCAAGTTCGACGTGAACTGTATAGATAATGTCGAAGAAATTCTCGACTATAGCCACCTTTCTATACACCGGCTCTTGATTTGGTGCATTCTGAAACAACAAAATATATATTTTTTACAAGCTGTTACCTCGCATACAATTTGTATATTAATTTACTACTTAATTTACAATGTTCCATTTTGTTTGTTATTAGATAATATTTTATAAGACATATCAGTAATATTATAATGCATATGACGTGAAGAAATAGACCTTTATATGACAAGAACTATAATATATATACTCGTGCATAGAGCAATATGGGATTCATAAATGACGAAGTATTAAAAAATATGGCAACGCCATCTTCAGTAACAAGTAGTTACTACCTATATTTCCTACTGTAGTATCATACGAAAGAGACGATGTAGGAAACAAACAGCGCCATCTATTAACAAAGCAAATCCATGTAGATGGTGTTGCATCTTAAAAACAGGACACAAACAATAGATGTCATCACTATATATAAAATCCACATCTGAAGAAAAATGGAAGTACATAATAATATATAAAATATATAAACAGTTTATAACTTTACAAGACGATAGCATATAAAAGAATACCAAACAAAAACACATAATCTGTGACCAAAAGTATTCACCTTTTATTAAAAGAGATGGTTCGGAATTCTGTGGTTTATAAATTACTTAAACAATATTTTCCCTTATTTTGGCCATGACGCAAAATTTTATATATATTAGGAAAACAATACAGTAATATATCTGGCATAACAAAATTTAAATAAAATATTAGATTATTTAGATTTATTTCAGATTGTATTAATCTTATATATAAGTTCCCATACTCCTCCGAAACGGCTTGACCGATTCTTATGAAATTTTGTGAGCGTATTGAGTAGGTCTGAGAATCGGCCAACATCTATTTTTCATCCCCCTAAATGTTAGGGGTAGTCCACCCCTAAATTATTTTTTTTATTTTAAGGCAAAACAACGTTTGCCGGGACAGCTAGTATATATATATAATATTGTTAGTTGTGGGGATTGTTAGTAATGGGAACAAATGACCCCATTGCTAGCAAATGTTCATGACAAGATTTGACATCAGCGAAGTCTCCCGTGGATATGGACGTCATTAATTCCTACTGAACTCACCAGACTGGACTAACTGAACTAACTTTACCTAAGGGTGGATAGGATGAGCCTTTGTTTCTGTGCTTATTCTCCTGTGTTGCTTGTGAATGAACTAATGTATCTTATAAAAAAGGACGTACTAAATGTTGGAGCGAGTTTCCCGTAAGCTTAGTATATTTAGAACTTTGTAATTGTATACATTATGTAAACGAGATATTTACCATGACGATATTATTTAAGAGATCTCTATTTTATACAATAGTGAAAAAAACCGTTCAATTTTACAAATATAAAAATTTCAACAGAGAAGTCGATTTCAAGCTGTCCTGCACATGGAATAGGTGTAAACCTAGATATGCTTCAAAACGTAGATGTAATACAGTGTGTGTTGTGCCGTAACTATCAAGTGTTCCAGTACTAGTGGTGTAGTAGTCGTGACGGTGTATGTAGCCGACATAGCCCGAAGAATTGCGACTTTGAAGTGGCAATGGGCAGGGCACATAGCTTGTAGGACAGATGGCCGTTGGGGCAGTAAAGTCCTCGAGTGGCGACCACGGACCGGAAGACGCAGCGTGGGAAGGCCTCCAGCAAGGAGGACCGACGATCTGGTCAAGATCGCTGGAAGGCATTAGATGCGAGCAGCGCAGGACCGATCGTCGTGGAGATCTTTGGGGGAGGCCTATGTCCAGCAGTGGACGTCTTCCGGGCTGCGATGATGATGTATGTAGAAAAATATTAAGAAATCGGGTAGATAGATTTGTCCGCTCGTAATCGAAATCCAGTCGTTTTTTTTTTCGGACTACTCTAATGCTGTTGGCCCCAGCTGGCCTTTACAGCTTCACCAGACGTTAGGGGGCGAGTGTAGATGGCACTCCAAACCCGCGGAAGGACTTATGGAGCGGCTGAAGGCCAACTCCTGCCTGACGAAATCCAGTCGGCCAGTATCCAGGAAGAGGTGCGTCGTGCAGAGTAACATAATAAATATCTCAGTTATTTAACGTAATATATATAAAATTTAATGTCTCATTCCATTCTGTTTACAAACAAACGTTGTGTAACATATTGTTATCCTACATACAATAGCTACTAAATCTCCCTAATAAGTCGTAACATAGCAAGTAAGCAATTAAACATTAGGGTATCAGAAAACTATTCCGCACCTAACCCCAATATTGCCATAAGTAATCCTAAAGTGAATCACGTATCTAATTAGTGCAATGAATTACCCGCGGACAGCAATTAGCTGCGCCCGGGATCGTGGGACTGTAATTAGCCCGGCCCGGGATCGCGGGACTGTAATTAGCCGGACCAGAGTCGGGAGCACTGTAATTATGGGATCCATTGCAGGCAGGCGGGCTTCGGATATCGGGGACGGTATAAACACCGACGACGAATTCACGAATGTCATTAACTTTTAGTAATTTATGTCGCCCTAGTACAACTGCAGGTTATTTCTATTTCTGTTGCTTTATTTACCACATGCCACACTATCGTCTCGTTGTAAGTATATTCATAATATGTATAAAGGACACACAATTTTTTGGAAAAATGTGCATATAAACTTAATGAATATTTTTTTTGCATAACATAGCAACCGCCAATGTACATGAATAGAACTAAAGACAACAACTTATTAAGCAACGCCTGTGATACCACTCATGTGTTATCATTCCGAATAACTGGATGATGAACATGATCATACCCTGTAATTTCGCTCCCTAATCTCACTTTTCGTCTGAAACAACTTCAAAACTGCAGTTTCAGAGCCTGAAATAGGTTAGGTTTTAGGTAAAAAAGTAAACGTATCTGAAAGTCTTACGGATTTCAATCCTAAAATTGAAATAAACACAGACCACTCACTTATAGAACTTTGCAAAACAAATTACGACAATACATAGTCGATACAAGTTTCAAGATTCGACCCAAACAATCTCAGGATACGAGGGAACTAAATTTATAAAAAGCATAAATAAAAGAATTTCAATCCCGGGACCCCGGGACTCCGATATGCAGAAGTGATTCCAAACCCTAAATATAGTTTGGACATATAAGAAAAAATCATATATTTGATAATTTAATATAAATATTTTTTATTTTTGTATATGGAGATTTTGTATATATTGGAGATATTTCAACCTTTGCAACCTTATGGAATTTTGTATGTCTAAAAAGTTAATTTATAAAAGTTAATTTTTATAAATTAAAGTTTATATACTTAATTTTAAGTTTTTATTTACTCTATATGTGATTTATAATGCAATATTTATTTTAAAATTAATAGTTGTTCTATAAATAAATAGAGGTAGAGTTTTTTAATTATGTTAGAACCATCGAATCTATCGCAGTTGGTGTAGTGTTGTTCAGTCAAATACTTGACATGTCCTTTGCCTTGCCAGATATGAAAAAAGGCCCATCAAAATCAGTCCAGCCATTTCAGATATTAGCCGGAACAGACAGACAGACATAAATTGCAAAAATGTTATATTGGTGTATGTACCGTATTTATATTCATATGCATGTAGTAAAAACCGGTTATTTCGATATTACAAACAGACACCAATTTTATTTATATGTGTAGATTACTAAGCATTAATTACAGACTTAGGTGTAAATGGGGGTCTTATCGCTTAAGCAAACTCTTCCAGACAACCTTTGAGTAAAGGAGAGAAGACTGAGAGTGGTATGTGGCGCATGCATTGTATAGAGTGTTTGTTGATTTGGATGTTCGGGGTAAAGTCCAATATTACTGATGCGATTATGAAAATTCTTTTAGTTTTTGATAGCCTATTTATCGAAGACTCACACTACGACCAATAGGAGCAAGCTGCAATGAAAAATGTTGCATAACGGGGAAACTGTGACGCAGACGTAGTTTTACAAGTCTTATTATATAATATAATAATAATAGCTGACTGTTGCTTAATTATATATTATATTATATAATTATGCACATACAACATAATGCTTGGAGAAATATACTATCATTACTGAGTTTAGGATTGCAACTATTTGTAAATGTCGTCAAATTCTTATTTCTACAATGTATACAAAGTGCCTATATACAAAATGGTTGAGAATACGACACGACGAAACAGGGGTATCATCAAAGATGCTTATCTGCGCCCGTGTGGGCTACAACGGGCCGAGGCGGGACTAATGGCCTTACCAATTACGCGGGCGAGGCAGACATCGCGCCATCCCGCGCCATCCCGCGCCATTCGCCGCCATTCCACGCCAGTCCGCCATTCACCCGCCAATTAGATGAGCGCCGCACTTGTAACGCTAGAGTCGCACCCTTGCGTTTGACAGCAGTTTTAGTTCAATTATTAGTTCACTCGGAATTAGTTCATCTCGATTTCATTTGGAGTTAGTAACTAACATTATTGGTTTATACAGACTAAATCCGCCGTTTGACATACTTGCTATATAATCTTTATTCCATGTTGATGCCAGTTATAAGAATATTTCACTATTGTTTCAATTTATTAAAAACAAACATTCAAACAAACAAATCTTTCCTCTTTATAAATATTAAATAGTAATTTGACGGTAATCTCAAATTTAAACACAGCCTACAAAGCAAACTACATACTTGCTAATAAAAAAAAATTACCAGTTGACTTGTCAGTTCATCTCAAGTTGCTAGGCATACTAGAACGGTAGGGATAATGATAAAAAAATACACGTATAAGCAGCAAAAAGTGTCCTATATGAATAAATGATTTTACTAATTTGAAATTGATTTGAAAACTTTGAAACAGACATATGTGTGACAGAGGACTATCCGTATTAGGTCATAGTTCAGTTCTCAAATTAAAAACTGTTCGCAAGTCGCACCTCTAGCACAATCCTGCGTCGCAAGGAACATAACGTCTCGACGAGACGATTCTCCCGCCAAATAAAAATAAATTGTACAAAATATTGTTCTCCATTCTGGAAATACGCCGCGCTGGAACACCG